CAGACTGGTGGGCCAAGACAGAAGCCCCTCAAAGACCTAGCCGTGAGCAGGCGTTGGGCGTCCCTCAGTGGTGACACCAACCACTGGGCTCCCTGCCCCTTGGGCCCTCCTCTGCCCATGCGTGCGGCCCCAGTGCCCTTCTTGGCACAGCTGGCCTGGTCAGCAGCTGCAGGGGTGAGTCACAGCTCTCATTAGAGCTTAATTAATCAATTGAGTTAATCAGACAACTGGTATGTGCTGTGGTTGCAGATGGGGGCAGGAGAGAGAGAGCCAAACATGAAGGGCGGGGTTGGGGGAACCCGGGGCTGCCAGGGCCAAGGGTTGGCAGGAAAGGAGGGTGCTGGCCAGATCTGCACCCGAGGTCTCTGGGAAGGAGGGCGAACGGGCTCAGCAAAGGCCCATGACGGCCACCCTGAAAGTGCCCTTTGCTGGGGGTCAGAGGCAGAACCTCTCCCACCCCCGGCTTCCTCTCCCATTTTGTTCTTTAAAGATGACTTATTTATTTATTTAGAAGAGCGAAGGGAGGAGGAGAGGGAGAGAAAAATCGATGCGCAAAAGATACATGGAGAAACATTGATGTGCGAGAGATACATCGATCGGTTGCCTCTCACACGCCCCCTAACTGGGGACCTGGCCGGCAACCCAGGCATGTGCCCTGACTGGGAATCGAACCAGCGACCTTTGGGTTTGCAGGCCACCACTCAATCCGCTAAACCACATCAGCCAGGGCTGCTCTCTCATTTTTTATCTGGTCATGTGTGTCTCTGAAAACTGTTTGAAATCCTTATTTGGATGGAGAGGGGAAAACAGAGAAAAGAAAACCCAAAAAGGTAGGTCCTCACATTCCCCATGATTCTGGTGACGGGGGAAACCAGGTGTCTACCCGGATGGCCGACAGAGGCCCAGACTCAGAGGTAAGAGAGACCTGGTCTCTCCAGTCGAGTGGCTCAGGCTCTGGACATCTGGGCTGGGGGGATGGGAAACGGCCAGAAGGACCAGAGCCAAGGTTGGGCGGGAGTCCAGGAAGAATACGGGGAGGAAGGGAGTACTGGAGCGTAGTTTACACTGTGATTTGCAAAATGTTGTTTCATCTGTTTTGTCTTACACCTGACCTTGGAATTAACTCGGAGACGGTGGGAGGGGGAGGGGTGTGGACAGGACAGATGTGTGAGGGTGGGAAATGTGTTCAGAGAGGATTCGTGGACATGGACACCCCCCATGAGCCCTTCCCTCCTGGGGCTTACGGTTCCCACAGGGCAACAAGCTAAGTGCAGTCTCGAGTGACCCAGAGTCTGAGGCTATAAGAAATGAGGGTCCAGGGCCTGAGACATGCAAGGAACTATGGGAGATGGATTCAAGGAGGGCAGTTGTTGAGGAGGCTGCGAAAGGCTTCACAGAGGGGGTGCATGTGAGCCAGGCCTTGCAGATGGGTGAGATTTAAATTTTTGTTTTAACTGATATGAGAGAGAGAGAGAGAGAGAGAGAATACATGTGTACAGGTGGGTAAGTGTATATGTATTTGTGAGTGTGTGTGAGTGTGTATATGTGTGTGTATTTATGAGTGTGTGTGTGTGTGTCTGGAGCCGCGGTCCTTACTCTTTAAGGAGTCACAGATGCCTCTATGCCTTGACAAAAGCTTGGACCCTCAGCTTAGAAAAATTCCCATACTCAAGGGGCACGATGCCCGCAGCAATGGAAGACAGGAGGTGTGTTCACAGACCTTCTGAAGCCCATCAATGGACCGACTTCCTGGTGCTCAGATCTCTTGAAAGCCCGCTCTCCCTTAGTTGAAGAGTCTTGCAAAAGCTATAACTGAGGGCTCACCGTGGTTCCCAGGACCTGGCAGGTGTGCTGAGGGCCTTGGGTCCTGGGCTTGGTGCCTCTCCCATACCCTTCCCCTGGCGGGACAGTTGGGCAGCTAGAACAGGGGGGAATGGTAGGTAGTAGGAGCTGGGGCCACTTGGGCACAGGAACAGCCAGCCCAGGTGTGAGAGGTCCAGGACGCCAGGCCCCTTCCCTGGCTCCCAGCATCAGCAGAAAGCGTCAGCCTATAGCCCTGGAAGGTCTGCGTCCCTGTCAGCACTGAACATCTTTCCCTTTGCTCAGAAACAGGCTTATTCCCTCCTTCCCGCAGACCCTGGTGCTGAGAGCTGAGGAGCAGGGCCCAGGTGTCCGGGGCCCAAACCGGGGAGCCCCAGCTATGCCATTTTTGGGTTTGCGGGGTGGCTCCTGGGGAACCACACGCTCCCTGGGTCTCCCCTCCTACTGTCCTCCCCCAGCAGGAGGGTGTCCGCTGCAGACCCCCCAAAAGCATGCCCAGGAGTGGCCACCAAAGAAGGGGCAGCGTTGGAAGAGGCTTCCCCACCTCTCTCTCTCTTGTTTACACATGCTCACAGCTTCCAAAGCATACATTCTCTGTGTAAGAAGTCTCTCCAGCCCTGCTGAAATGGGGGTTACGACCGTCTCCACTTGAAAGACAGTGGAGCTCAGGGAGGAGCCTCGCCTGAGATCCCCCAGCCAGCAAGCAGAGGCACCCGGAATGAAAGGAATTTCCAAGTCCAGCTAACAGGTTCTGCCCTCCACTCCAGGCTGCTCCAAGTGCCGGGTATCAGAAAGGGGAGTGTCCACCCCAGGTCCTGCCCAGCAGAACTAGGGACCTGCAGTGGGCCCGCTGAGGGAAGATGACAGTCATGTCTTCCTCCCCCGCCAGCCTCCCTTGGGGCACCGTGGGCCCCCTGAGTCGATGAAATTCACCCCTCACACAAAGAAACGCTCTGCCTTGAATTCCACAGGGGCGCACTTTGCCCTCTGCCTCCAGAGTCCCCTCCCTGCTGCGAGAGAGGCAGAAGCCTCTGTAAGCTTCTGACTCTACATCTTTGCTGGTCCAGCATGGTAGCCAGTCACCACGCGTGGCAACCGAACACCTGGAATGTGGCTAGTGCCATGTGTTAAAATGACAATATTTTAAACATACTGATTACATTTAAAAATAAATTAATTCCCCCTGTTTCTTATACTTTTTTCAATGTGGCTACCAGAACCTTTAACAGCGCCTATAGGGTTTGCACCAAATTTCTATTGGACGCGGCTGCCCTGGACGGCAGCGGCCCCGCCCCCTGTGTGGTGTTCGGTGCAACCTCACAAAAACTCGGAGATGAAACTGAATGCTGACCACAATTGAAAAAAATTTAAAAAACAATGTAAACTTTGTGGTATGAGAGGAATGGGGGCCACAAGCCTTCATGTTGCAGATAAGGAAGGTGGGACCCTGTGAGGTCAAGTGACTTGGTCAGACTCGAGGGTGGAGGCCGGGTTTTCCTGACTGTAGAATTGAGACCCCTTTCCAAGGCAGTCCAAGAGATGCCCCCTTCTCCACACTGGCGCTGAACCACTCACTTCCCCCAGCCCCCTTCCGAGGCCCCTTTCCCCTTCGCACACTCTGGGAACTTGCTGGAAACAACCCTGTTGACATGGCCCTCGGCCCCCCACTAAGGCCAGAGTCTAATCAAAGCTGGTGGCCTTGTTCTGCCAGGAGAAGCACGCTCCTTTGCACCTGCTGCCCTTCATGTAGGTGCCCGGGGCAAAAGAAGCAATGGCCCCTGCTCCCGGGGTAGTGGCCCCGCGGAGAGCCACTCACCACGCCCCACCCCATCCTCAGCCTGGGTTCCACCCCTCCTGCCTCCTGCTTATAGAGGAGTATGTTGAATTAGGCTAAGGGATTGTTTCTTTAATTCCGCGCCCCCGCCCCCGTCCTTTGTCCCTGGAACATGATAAAAATACCCAGCATTGATCTTCTTTTCTTCCCCTTCTGCCAGGGTAATGTTTACCCAGGTGTCAATCAGAAGAAGAATTTGGCTTCCTAATTTCTCTTCCCCTCCCCGGGGGCTGCGTGTCTCCCTGCCTCACATGGACACTGAGCTGGAATCAAGGTTACTAATAATCCCCCAGCACACACAGACACTGAGAGCACATATATTAAAGTCACATATTGATTTATATTTTCAGGTCCCTCTGCCTTTCTGCCCAGCCTCAGCCTTTCTCTCTGCCAAGGAGAAAAAAAGAATTACACAGCTATATTTATCACCAAGATGTTTCGTGTAAAGAGCATTGTGTCCGAAGGTAATTCCTACCCCCTCCGCCCTCTTTGGGGATATTTTTTAGAAATAGTGTGGCGTCGCCTAGTCATAAGCATTTACCTTTTGCTGTCCATTCTTTAACTTTTCTGTGAAGGAAGTGGTGAGAGATTTAAGGTAGACTGTTGGAAGGACTTTCTGACTTGACCAATGGTACCTGCCACCCACAAGGAGGCCGGTGGGGTTGTCCTGCCAGCAGAGATAGTCCCGTTGTCAGTGGGGGTAAGGCTGGGTAGGAAACTGTAGAAGGTGGGGCAATGGACTCAATAACTTTTAGAGGTCACCCGCCAGTTCACACAGGTCCTCAAAATTCGTGGCTCCCCGCCTACAGTTCATCCCACAGCTGGGAAAACCAAGAGGCTGAGGAGTGAGTGTACTTCCCACCGGGGCTTCATGTTCCACGTCGGCCTTGCCATTCCATCCAGACTCCGAGCTTGATGGGAAAAAGCGCTTTTCTCCAGGTCTGGGTGGCTCCTGCCCGGAGGAGAGCAGACGAGGCACAGTTGTCTGGGAGCGGGTGGTGGAGAAGCCGGTGCGGAGATTCTTATTCTTTAAGGTGAGATGAGGGGAGGAAGGGCTCCCAGAGCTCTGAGCTCAGAACGCCTGTCACTCCTTCTGGCAGAGCTGCTATTTAAAAATGCCAAACTATTTGACTCTAGTTCCCTCCAGAGGCTCTTGGAATGGAAGCGATGTTGAGCATGGGGACTCACATGCAAACTCTCGCCATCTTCTGAATGCCGCCCCGTGAGTTTCCTTCCCACTCACATATATCATCTCCTTTATTATTCATAGCTGCTCCGGGAGGTAGAGGGTGTCAGCCCCATTTTACACATGGGAAAGCTGAGTTTCAAGAACTCACCCAGCCTCCTACGGCTGGGACAAGGCGAGCCTCTGGTCTCCTGACTCCCCTGCAGGGCGCACGGCCTCACTGCTGCCGCAGGGGCAGCCTACGGTGACCTCCAGGTCCCTGCAGCCTCCTCCCCTGGCCACGCCTGTGGTCTGGCTCTCAGCTCGCCTCCAGGCCCAGCTGACTCCCCATCCTTGGTACCGAACTTCCTCTTCTGGTTGTGCCCAGGTGCGCTGGGGTGATCCTGACCCCATTCTGCTGCCTGCCCAGCCTCTGCCAGGGACCCTGGACGGCTGGCCTGGCTACCCACTGCTTTCCCTTTGGCATTTTCCAGTAACTTGATGGAGTTGCCTCTAATCAGGGTTCCTCACTTCATTCTGGCACCTACTTTACCCCGTGGCGGGACTGAGAACTGATGTCTGTGGGTGCCAGTCTGTGTGGCCCACTGCAGGGCGCTGTCCTGCTCTTTCTGACCCCACAACGGCCCTCCCTGCAAGGGAAAGGTAGAGCCTCATATTACAGACGAGAAAACTGAGACTAGGGAGCACAAGTGACTTTTCCTAGGTCACCCAGAGGGTAAAAGGTGCTACTGAGATTCCGTCAAGTCCGTGTGACCCAAAGTCCCAAAGTCCTGGCTTTGGAGCTCACTCCCCCCGGCAGGGCAGCGCAGTTCCCCTCAGACAGGGCCGGTGAGGGCCATGGAGGGCGCGGGATGGGGACGGGGTGCCAGACAGCTCAGGGCGCGGCATGAATCAGCAACGAGGACCCTCCCGGATAACTTTTCCCATTGAAAATCTGTTTCCCTCGCGGCCACGGGTGATGTATAGCTGGGGCTGATGAGAAACGTGCAGCGGAATGGAGGCAGGCGGCGCGGGCGCCCGGGCAGCCTGGCGGGGGCAGCGCGCCATTGAGATTCCACCGGACGCGGCGGGGGCGGAGGGGGCGGGCGGCGCAAGCCCTGACGCGAGCCGGGTAATTGATCTGGAGGTGCCAATTTGCAGCAACTAAATATTTGGTTTCTGCCTCTGCCTGCTCCGCACTCTGCTCAAACAAACTTCAATTAAAAGTGAAAAGGGAGGGATGCGGGGTGGGGGGTTTCGGCGGGTCCGGTGCCTTGCGGCCTGATCGATGGCGTGGAGCTTGCGGGTTGCGGAGCGCTGCCGCTCCAAGCTGGGAACGGGCGGGGGACCGTCGGCCAGGGTGGGGAGGGCGGTGCGGGGCTGGCGTCCTGTTCCGGACCAACGGGCGCCCGTTGCGCCCGGCCCAGGAGAGGCAGCACTTCGAGCCTGGGGCAGTGGCTTAACCTCAGTTGGTGGAGCAGAGTGCCCACTGTGTGCCGGGAGGGGGACACAGGTAGCGCCAGCCGACGCCCCCACTCTGGACGGCCGACCCTATGTGCAGGAAGCGGGGAAGGAGGGGCCCCAGGGCGCTGAACCCCCTCTCCCAACGTAGCTACCTCAGGAACTTTGATGGTGGCCTTGCCGTTCAGCAGCGTCACTGAGCGTCTCTCCTGCAGGCTGCAGGGTGCCAAGGGCCCTGGGTGCCGAGATCCATCCCCTTTCTTGTCTGCTTTCAAGCAGACAGAAAGGTTTCAGGAAGAGATCAGTCTACAAAGGGGTTGGCAAAAGCCATGAGGGTGAGTGGGACCCGGGCTCCACCACTACAGGGGTCTGAGGAGGGTTTGGGATTGGGGGAGGGGGCAGTAAGATCCTGGGGTCTGGGGAGAGGGTCTGGAGAAGTGGCTGCAGCCAGGACAAGGGGAAGGGATCATGGGGTCACAGTGGCCTCTTTTGGGGCTTCGAGCCAAACACAGAAACAATACTCATTCACTGGGTGAAGTTAGTGCACAGGGAAATGTCTGTCCCTTGAGAACCCTCCAGTACTTTGAGGGAGAGGCCCCAGGACTAGGAAGAGGAGCTGAACGTTGCTGCCAGGAAGCTGGGGCATCTCAGGGTCTGCTGGATGGACAGCTTGGGGGGTAATTACAACAGGTCTGAGAAAGACATGATGAGGAGTGGGGGTGAGGTGGGGGTGGGGGTGGCCATGAAGCATCCAGGTCCAGACAGATAGAAAGTGGAGGGGAATTAAAGTCATTTCATCTGAGAGCAAGTTTTGTGAGGGTCGGAGCTGGGAAACAAGGCCGAAAGGCTGGGGAGGTGAGTCAGGAGGCCGCTGTTCTCTCCCACGCTTCTATCCCCACGGGCTGGAGTGAAAGAATGGCTTCCACACTTAACCCTGTGCCAAGGGAGGCTGCTGCCGGTGCACTCAGCTACAGGCTGCAGTCCCTTCCCTTCCCTTTCCCCCTTTCAACCCGATCTGCCCTCCCCCAGGACCCCCTTGGTTCAGGGCTGGGTGTGGGAGCACAGTCATACCCGAGGGCCTCAGCTTCCAGGTGATCAGATGGCCCTGCAAAGCTCCTCTGGACTAGGGAGGCCTGGGTGCTGTCCCCATTCCCGAACCTGAGGCTCTAGTGGGGATTGGTCTCACCATCCCCCTTCTGTCCCCCTTCTACTTCAAGCAGTTGCCTCCCAACCCCCCAACCTTCCTCATCAGCCCTCAGCTACCACTTGTCTCTCTTTGTTGCTTGGGGCACCAGTTAATCATCACAGGGAAGCTGGATCTAGGAGCTCCCCTCCACCGCGACTCTCCCTCCCAGCTCCTCCCAGGGGCTGCCGCATACCCTGCCTCAAGCCCCTTCCCAGCCTGTAAGCTGGGCGCCCGCTCCCTCGAGTTCCCTTCCTCCTTCCCGCCCTCTCCCTGGGCGCTGAGCTGTGGAGCAGAATGATTTCCTGTAATTGGCCAGCAATCTGACTGCCCGACTTGTTCTATCGACGTGCTGGTTAGTTGGAAATTGTACTGGAATCTGAGTGACAGGGCGGGGAGGGGTGGGCAGGGAACAGAGAGAAGAGGCTCTTTGGGCCTCAGCTGGGTGCAGCCTCAGCAATGTGGGTGGGACAGAGGAGCCACAGCCACATCCCCCCTTTCTGGGAGCAGCAGGAATGCAACCCACAGGGCTTTACCCAGTCACTTTGCTCTTTCTCTCTTGCCATCTCCAAGGGGGGGGGGCGTGAGGAAGGTCTCCCCGACCCACGCATTTGTGCCGTTTTCCCAGTCATCGATGCCATCCCATCCCCACTCCTACTTCTAGGACTGGGTCCTCCTGACCTAAAGTGTCTTTGCAAGAACTAGTGGTGCCCAGCAGGCATGGCTGTCCCTCGCATCTGATTTCGAGCCATGGATGCTCATAGTGTCCCTAACTTTCCCCTGCCTGTCCCCAAGCAAAGGGAGGCTAGACATCCGGAGAGGTGACAATACCAGGTAAACAGCCAGGGTGTAACTAAGGGGAGCAATGCAGGCAGTGGGAGCACTGTATTGGGAGTCCAGAGGCTTTGGACTCCATGGATCAGCCTCTTAGCCTCTGTGAAATTCTAGCTTGGCCTCCTTCACAGAACTGGGAGATTGCAAGTGGATAACCATGTGAACATGCTTTGCAAACTGTAAAGCTCTGAGAATTACACTAGGACCAGCCAGGCTGGGAGGGGGAGGAAGGCTGGAGTGGGGTGGTTCTGGGGCCTGCCTGTCCCCCTTATACCCCACCAAAAGTCCAGTCCGCCCGCCACCCTCACTGGAGTCTTCATTGCTGTGTCCGCATTGGGGTGCTAGGGTGCTAAGGCCCCGAGTGGAGAAGGAAACGCAGCGCCCAAGCAGGAGACTGGAGGGTGAGAGGGTGGAAGCCTGGGGTCTCTTGTGCTCGAGAGGGGGCGAGTAGGGCAGGATGGGGACACAGCCCTCCGTCCAGCAGGGCTAGGTGAGCAACACAGCTTCTTAATAAGCGCCAGGGGCCAGGCAGGGCACACCCTTCCCCCAACCCCCCAGGGCTCCTGCCACAGCCACTCTGTGTGTGTGTGTGGGGGGGGGGGGATCCGAGGAGACTCGGCCAAGAGGGAAGGCAGCAGGATACCACTGAGACGAAATAATCCTTCAACAGCTCCCGCCGTGGAGGTCGGACCCCCAACCCAGGTGGGTGCTGCCACCTGCCGGCCAGAAGGGATGACGCCCTCCAGGGAGTGGGGCTCGGGCTCCCGTTGCAGCTTGGCTCTAGCTGTCCCCGGGCTTCACAGCCCCATAGGTGGTCTGAACATGGCGTCCCACACCCCCGGGGAAAGGCCTTCTTCTAAGCTCACCTTGGGCCACTGAGCCTGGGAAAGGGAGGCGGTGAGGAAGGAGGCCTGAGGAGCAAGAATGGGAGCTCCCGGAGGACCAGGGCACCCTGGAGGACTGGATCCCCATTCAGCCACCCTGCCAGGTTGGCCATCCTCCGACATTCTTGCACCAGACTCGGCAGAATGGGTCAGGAAAGAAATTCTTTGAAACTCTACCGTCTGCAAAAGGTTTGCACCGTCCTGACCGAGGTCCCTTTGATGTAAGGATCACGATGCCTACCTGGTGGAAGGAATGGGGCCAGCACACAACTCCAGATCTGCCGCTGCCTGATGCTCGGGTGCAGTGGACAGAATCCTGGGGCCTGGCGGACCCAGGTCCAGCCCCTCCAGCTCTTTGTGCCTGGGGTTGGAAGAATCAGTGTTAGGTCACCTCTAGGGCAGTGATTTTCAACCTTCCATCTCATGGAACACACAAACTACTAAAGTTCTGTGGCACACCCCAAAGTCTTTTTTGCCAATCTGACAAAAATTTGTTGTGATTTGTACGATTCATTCACACCAGACAACTATGGTCGTGTTGGCTGTTGTCACTTTTTCATTTGACTATCTACAGGAAAAATGGTCAGTGACCCTACAATAGGTATTGCACGTTTAAAAAATTCTGGCAGCGCAGCCGGTGAAAACCGCCACTCTAGGGTGTTACACACCTATCACAGTGTCCCACACACCGCAGCATTCATGAGGTCATCTTCTCAGTGACTAGGGTAATAGGACGCCCTGCTACCTCAACGGGGGGGCCATGCCCTTCTTCCTCTCACCCTTCCTGTCAGGTCCTGCTAAACCAGGCCTGCAAAGCAGCCTTTCTCATCCTGTCCCCTGCCCCACCCCGAGGCTCACCACAGCCTTCCCACCTGGGGTTTGTAGGGAGTTAATGAGCTGGTCTCTGAGGTATACGAGAAGCTCTGGGAAAGGGGGCACCAACTACAGCCACCACGGCACTCACATTTGTCACACTTGTTTCTGGCCTTAATAGGCTGCTGGCCACAGGATCGCCACATCAGCGGGTCTGGCCTTTCTGGCAGGGGAAAGCCGATGTCAGCCCTGGTCTAATTGGGTTGGGGAAGGAAGACAGAGTGTGTGGGTGGGATGCGCCCACCACCTCCACCTGCTTCTCACCAGGACCTAGCTGGAACCCTCCTCCTGGATCCCCAGAAGTCAGAGGGCTACTGCAACTTCTGGAGCCCAGGCTTCAGTGCGGGAGGAGGCCAATGTAACCCAAATTTCATCAGCCGTGTCTGAGAACTTTAACTGCTAGGGGAACAACAGCAGCACAGGGCATTTCAGATCAACACACTTTATTGAGCACCAACAGCGATGCAGGCTTTGCACCAGGAACAGAGATAAATAGGACAGTCCCTGCCTCGAAGGGCTTACAGTCTAGCGAGAGAGACTAGATCAGCAGTTTGGGGCTGATTATTGTACTGTGGACTCGGACAAAACTCGGGGATGGTGGTATCCCAGAGCACCTAACCCAGCCTGGGGCTTCAGACCCTGTGTGAGCTGGGAGTCAGCCAGTTACAGGAGAGAAAAAATGGGATTCCAGGTCAGGGAAAAGCACGGTGAAGGCACAGAGGTCAGCAACAGTCAATCCACGTGGACCAAGAGTTCTGGGCTAGGAGTCCATGGAGGGGAAGGTAGAGTGGTGGGAGGTGGCGAGCAGAGTAAGGGGCGTGACGGCCAAATGCCGGGGTGGGACAGTGGGTCATCCCAGAAGGGGCCTGGCCTTTGACAACGACTGCGTTACCCACAGAGAATCTCACTGCATCCTGGCCAAGGGCGTCAACCTAGGGAAGAGTCAGGTTTGAAGGTGATAACCTGTGGCCCAAAATGATTTGCCATGATTCACAAAGGGGGTTTTGGCCACAGTGGGGCCTGTGCTAGAGGGTTCTTGCCCAGGGAACCCCCCCGGCTGTAAGCACTGAGAAGGGCCAGGGAGACGATGTCCTTAGCCCCGCCATGTCTAACAGTTCCCGGTGATCGCTTTCAGGTCTCATTGTGGACACTGTTCTGCAGGTGGTCCCGGAGCGAGGGGTCCTGGGGAAGGTGGGAAGGAATATCTACCGACAGCTGTTTCTTGGCCTCAGAGAGAATGCACCGCAAAGAAGGGGAAGCCCAGTACAGGGCTCCAGCCAAGAGACAGAGAGAGAAAAAGAGAAAGAGAAAGAGAGAGAGAGAGAGAGAGAGAGAGAGAGAGAGAGAGAGAGAGAGAGAGAGAGAGAGAGAGAGTTAGAGTTGAGGGGACGAGGGGGAACTGGAGGCATTTGTCACCCAGCTTCAGCCTCCGAGGAGACTGAGGCTGGGCTTCATGCCTTGCAGTGCGCAGCTAGGGGGAAGGCAGGAGGTAGCGGGTGAGCAAGTACAGGAGGCTAGCGATGCCGGCCAGACCTGTGAGGACCCCCAGCCTCAGCGGCAGGTACTCCAGAGAGCGCTCCAGCTCGGCGTGCAAAAGGATGACCTGGCGCTTGGTGATGCTCCACTCGCCTGAGTTGTCCAGAACGTGGCGAGCCATGCGGGCTTTGTCCTTCAGGGGCAGCTGGGCGTTGACGCGAGCCTCTGCGTCCTCGCGGTTCAGGTTGTTCCGCCGCATCAGCCGCGCCAGCTGTGTATCCCGGTCACTAAGGACAGGACAGAAGGACTGATCAGGCTTGGTAGGCCCCATCCTCTCCCACCCCAACAAGTTACAGGGGTGGACAGCCCCCTCTCAAATCAGTGTAAGGTCCCACGGCCAGGGAGGGAAGCCTGGAAGTGCTCACAGGCTGCTCCCACGCCTCACCCTACTCTTCAAGGTCCTGGCAGCCTGATGCGCTTAACGTGAAGGGGAGGCGGGGAGGCTGCAGAAGCTGCTTTCTGCCACCTGGGAACTCTGCTCTGCCACCAGACGGAGACTTCCCAGTTGTAGGATGGACAGTTTGATTGCCTGGAAATAGCTACATTCTGGATCCCTGGGTGCATGACCTTTACCAAAAAAGGCCTGTGCCTGCAAGCTGAATGCATCCTGCCCTTTCCCTGGGGCCCTGGGCCTGCTGCATCAAAGACAGATTCCTCGGCTGCAAAGACCCTCTGCTGGCCTCCCCACTCCCACGTTTTAAAGCAAAAGGATCATGAGGAAATGGTGGCTGCTGTGCTTGATGCTACCAATGAAGAGGGACAGGCAAGCCCCAGGATGCTTCTAGTGGAGCAAGGACTTGAGAAGCAGATAGCCTTGGTTCTGGGACAGGAGAAAGCCCTCCCTGCACATAAGCTGAACAACCCCCAGCCTCCTAGTTCCAAAGGAAATTCAAAGGCCACCTCTTCGGCCCACCTGACACCACCACCTGGGTCCTTCCTCTGGAACTCCCTGTCCTGTCTACGCCCAGAGGAACTGCCCACTGCGCTCCAGAACAGGGTCGCCTCGAACTTCCCTCCAGCTCCGTGACTACCTCAGCCCCTCAATGGGAACACGGGGAAAGGGCGGCAGGAGCCACTTCCTGCCACTGGGGCCCCTCTGCTTTGCTGCTAGGCCTGAGATTTCCCAGGTGTGAGATGAAGACAGACCACCACAATTTGGTCCTCTCTTAGGTGTTACCTGCACCCGAGGGACTCCTGGGATGTAAAGACAGGCTTTCTAAGGACAGACATAACCTGAACTCTAGCTGGTTCCATTTCAGAACAAAATGTTGCAGAGAATCATTTCTGGCTGGCTGATCAGGGGAGACCTTTCAGAAGAGATGGCATTAGAAAAGTAAGTAGGACTTCTGATTTCCTTTGTTACAGTGACAGTGTACTGTGAAGGTCACGGGCCAATCCCTGCCTGGCTGAGAAAATAACCATCTCCAGCCTTAGGAACACCCCAGGCCTGGGGCTGGGAAAAGCGGGCTGAAGGAAGATGGCGCAGGGCCGCCGGAGTGCATCCCTCAGCCGGCGCGACCTCGACCAGAGGGCCTCCTGGGCGGTGTAGGCCGAGGGCCCCCCCAGTCCTTCCTGGGGCTGAGCCAGGCCCGTGGGGCTACTGTAAACCTGGATGCTATTTATGGTAATGAGATTTATTTTTAAAGATTTTATTTATTCATTTCTAGAGAGCGGGGAAGGGAGGGAGAGAAACATCCACATGTGAGAGAAACATTGATCGGTTGCCTCTCACACGCCCCCAGCCAGGGACCTGGCCCAAAACCCAGGCATGTGCCCTGACTGGGAATCAAACCAGCGAGCGACCTTTCGGTTTGCAGGCTGGCACTCAACCCACTGAGGGACGCCAGCCAAGGTGGTAATGAGATTTTTATCAATCACTTACTCCACAATTGGCACATTCCTTGAAAATATGAATTATCACGTTTTGGTATAATCATGCTGTAGTAAATGCCCCGTATTATTTTAAATGCACCAGGGGCAGTGCGAGTTGAAGGAGTCCACGAGGAGAAGCTCATTTCTGTAAAGTGTAGATCCCCTTCATGAAAAGCGAATCATCTCTCACTCACGTCTCTGGCATCTCTGGAGTCACGTGCCCACATGTGCCAAAAGTGGGAGAAAAGCAGCAACCAGGACTTTGGCAAAGGTTCTTTGGCTGGTGAGCGGGGCTGGAGGGTCTGCTGGAGAATGGACAGAATCCACGCAGCCCCACGCACGTATCTGCCAGGGGCCACAGCTATCTTTGCTCTTGAGCAGACCAACCTCGAAGGAAAGGGCCAAAGGGGAAGGTGGCAAGGGAAGGCATGGAGTCCGAGGTGACTGCAGATGCAGTCTGTCCCCTTCTGTCCCCCGCCCACACTTAAGATCCATTTTTCTGTCTGGATCCCTTGGTACACAGTTCCAATTGCATTAAGACTTTTACGACTCCAAGGCAAAAAGAATTCCAAGTGTTCATGGAGTGTGCCTGGCCTCAGGTCACAGTCTTTCACAACAGGGAACAAAGGACCCAGAGAGGCTGCAGTTTTACATGGAGAGCTGTGGCTCCAAGCAGGAGCCACGGGAAAGCCTGAATCTCTGCACCGGGCTTGGCAGACTTAGCATTTTTTAAAATTCTCACCTGAGGGCATTTTAAAATTGATTTTAGAGAGAAAGGGAGAGAGGGGGGAAGGGGAGAAGGGGAGGGGAGGAATAAGAGAGAGAAACCAACCTGGTTGCCTTTGCATCCATCCCTGACTGAGGTCCAGACCCACGACCTTTCAGTCTAAGGGATGATGCTCCAACCGAGCCACACCAGCCAGGGCCAGACTGGGTTTGGTTTTGTTTCAAAGATTTTATTTATTTTTAGAGAGAGGGGAAGGGAGGGAGAAAGAGAGGGAGAGAAACATCAGTGTGTGGTTGCCCCTTGCGCGCCTCCTGCTGGGGACCTGGCCTGCAACCCAGGCGTGTGCTCCGACTAGGAATTGAACCAGCGACCCTTTGGTTCACAGGCTGGCACTCAATCCACTGAACCACACCAGCCAGGGCCAGACTAGGTTTTAAATGACAATTTATGATGGGGGGCTGAGGGGCAGGGGAGAGGGAGGGCAGGGTAATGCTCAGGGCCCTGAGTGCCCCAGGCCCCATCCCCAGAGTGCCGGAACCTCCCATGCATCAGTGTCCTGAGCGCCCCCCAGTGCCCAAAACGCCCGCAGAGCCGAGTGCCCACCTCTGAGTCTGCTGCACTCGTGGGCGGCATCCAGGAAGTTTCCGGGAGGCAGAGACACTCATCTACTCTCTCACCCCACTGGGACTGGGACTCATTTTCTCTGACAGTCTGATCCTCCTCTGTTTGTCAAACCTGGATTCTGGTTTGCTTCATATCCTCGGGGATTCTGAGAACAAAGTTCCTTCCTTAGCTGGGCTCTGGTGGTTCTTTCCCTGCAACTTCTGTCCACAGGCGTTGCCAACGGGAGAGACCCTGGACAAATTCGGTTACCTCTCCATGGGCCCCGCCCCCAACTTTCCCCTTCTCTAACTCAGGAGTTTCAACTAATGACCTGCATGCCTCATGTTGAAGGTAAATTCAGTGAAGTAATAAGGGTGGAGCTGTCTGGAAAGCTGAGCAGCGCCAGAGGAGGGAGAAGGGCCCAGCAGTTCACCCACCAGGGCAGGGCCAGGCCTCTGGGGAAGTGCCTCCAACGGCCAGCAGGCGGAGCCCTTCCCAAGCACTGGAGAACCTGGGGGTCGTCCCTTCCCACACCTATCCGGGGGGCATATCTGGAGTGGGCACAGGGGTTGGTTTCGGTGGGCTCTGGGTGCTGCTGCCCCAACCCCCTGTGCTTCCCAGCTGCCCTGTGGGGAAGGGCACAGTGATGTGGGCTCTTTCTCAGGTATGTGCCTTACTCCAGGGGTCCTCCTCTCCAGCCTGTCAGGCCAGAGTGCCACACACTCACCAGTATACCACCACCGTGTGCTTCATGTATTTGAGCAGCTTCTTGGTCTCAAACAGCAGGGGGATATCCAGAATCACGTAGCGGTATCCTGGAGAAAAGCAGGGAAGCCACAAGGTCAAGTCTGCAAGTACAGTAAGGACTACCCAGGTGTTAGGCACGGGGACAGAGTTGAGGCCACTGTCTCCTACCACTGAAAGCTCCCAACAGAGGGGCAGACCTCCCAAGGACAGGCGTTATTCCAACGCCAGGCAGAAGAGAATGCTGCAGAAAGTCCTTTCGGACCGGAGGGGCCGGTAAGACCTTGAAGCAGAAATATCACCTGTAATGCCGGCCCTGCACAGCAGGCAGGTAGGACTCCTGACACCCGAAAATGAGTGGGTGAAAGTGAGGGTTTCAGGAATGGGGAACGGCAAGGCCCTATTGCTCTGGCTGAAGTGGGTGCCTGGGCAGTGTGAGGTACTGGTGAGCTGGTCAGGGGAGACACAAAGCATTGAGTTCACCTTGACCTTGAACCCAAAGAGCTAATTCCTTCTTCTCTTTTAATTAATTAATTTATTTTTAGACAGAGGGGAAAGGAGGAGGAAAGGGAGGGGGTGAAACATCAATGTGTGGTTGTCTCCCATGCGCCCCCCACTGGGGACCTGGCCCATAACCCAGGAGTGTGTCGGGACTAAGAATCAAACCAGCAACCATTTGGTTTGCAGGCCAGCACTCAGTCCACTGAGTCACATGAGCCAGGGCCAAAGAGTTGTTATTTCTGAGCAGGGAAATGATATAGCCAAAATTGTAGGAAACTAGAAAGTTTCCAGGAGTAAGGGCCCTTTCTGCTCTACTTCACCCACCTCCGTTTAAAAAAAAAGTTCTCCCTCAAGAGCCAGGTCCCAGCCCGACCCCCTGCTGGAGAAGAGTCCTGCACGGCCATCTCTGCCCGCTCTCCACAAGAGGCTCACACAGGTGGCGGCGGCCCCAGCAGGAAAGAGGCTGCCGCCTGGACAGGTCTGGAGGTGCTGCAATCATTATGACTGACACTAAACCACACTGGGATCAAAGCACTGCCCCCACCCCACACCCCCGAGAGCCACGGCCAGTAAGGGCGGCGCCCTCACGAACTGTGAGCCGGCACATCCCTGGGCTGCCAGTCCAGGAATGACGTGGGCTCCACTCCCGGTTCTCTGTTTGCCAGCAACCCCACGCAGGTGCAGTAAAGCTGCAGGGTCCTGGAGCAGTAAGAGGAAGGAACAAACACCGCTTCTACCCAGAGACCCCTGCCAGTCAGGTTTGGTACCCACTGCTAACACTCGGCCACAGAACCAGACACACATGACACCAATTCCAACAGTCACAGTGAAATGGGCGCTCTTGGTGACGCAGGTAACAGAGGTGACAACCCAAGTGGCTGGACCGCTTGGTCTCCTGTTCCCCAGGACCTGTCACTCAGGAAGCCTTCCACTGAATCAGGGGTTAAGAGAATGCGTCCTGATGACAGGCCTGGGCTTGTGGCCTCCACTTTCTCACTTGTGACTCGGGCCCTTAACAAGCCCCCTCCGTGTGAATGAAGGAAAGGACTACCTGCTTCGCAGGAAGACGGGGAGGATCAGTGGGTGAAGACAGGCAGCCCACACACCGCCCTTCACCCAGACCCTTACTAGGTGCTCCGTAAATGCCAGTAACTATTGCTGCTGGTCCCGGAGGAGGGAGCCGGCCCAGCTCCCCCCCAAACTTGGCACAGGGGCCAGGGCCAGATTCTCTCTGGGCCGCTTATCTCCCTTTCCTGCTCTGCTCTCACCCCTTCCTCTGCCCTCACTGTCCTTTCTCCTTGGGCCCTCTCGGGAGCTTGCGGCCAGCTCTTTGGTTCACCGGCAAAGGGCTATTCAGCTGTCACATCCCTCCTGCTTGATAAGCTCTGCAAACTATCCTGACTCTATTAAGACATCCGTCTGCCTACATGGAGACCTCCCCAACAGCTGGTGATCTTATCTGACGTTTGATTATACCAACTCTGACAGTTGTATTTGTTACAGTCATCAGGGAAAAACTGGGACTGTGGAAGCCACAGCTGTCGTCCCCATTTTTCACCTTATCGAGCTGAAAAGAGCTTTCTGGCTTTTATTTAAGTGGCGGTGGCTGGAGAGAGGGGAGGCTGGGCAGACGACACTGCGGGAGAACTTTGGAGCGGTGACATTATCTGATGTTTCATTTCATAGGGGGAAAGCCACTGTCGCCTCAAAGCCCTGCAGAGGTACTTGTGCTGGCCTAAGAGTGCGTGCAAAAGGGCAGGAGTGAAAGGCAGAAGGCTCTGCTGGCGGGTAGGGGCAGGAGGGGATTCTGGCACAGATACAAGAGGCAGGACAAAGGAAGAATCTACAGACTTTCCTTGAGAAGGGGGAGGGAGGGAGGCCTGAGGCAAGGTGCTGGGATGCAGGGGAAAGCTGGTCCTGCAGGGAGGGTGCCTGGAGCCAGAGCTGGGGGGAGGGGGCGTGGGAGGGTTAGAGAGGAGGGTCAGCATCATGGATGTCTGTCAAGTCATCACTTTCCATCTGGGGGAAGGTTCTGGCTAGAGCAGGGTGGAATTCCCCACTCTCTCTTTGAGAACTTGGCACCCAAGGAAATTAGGGGTTTGGCCAAGATCACAGAGCAAAAGCCCGAAGAAAACCTAGAAGCCTCCCTGGTACCCACAGGAAGGAAAGTCTCAGCATCAGAACTGACAGAGGGGAGGTGAGCAGCTGGGCCTTCAACATGGAGGCCTCATACACCAAAGGCTGCAAGGGCCCTTGGCCAGCTTCCCACCAGACCCAGACTGCTCTCCTCCTAACCACTATGGTGACTGACCCATCGTGGACAGTAAGTAATAGGCCGCTCCTACCCAACACCGCTCCGAGGACAGGACTTGAACTGTGGTCTACAGCTTGGGAAGGGCAACAGCTGCAGAAGGTTCTTGCCAACTGACCACAGACCCTGCTGTTCAAACACTCCCCTTCTTGCAGTCCTGGCAAGGCCCCTGGCTGTGCCTGCACGAGCCTAGCTGACTCCCCACTGAGCCCCAGCCTCCAACGCTTATCCCCCACTGAGAACCCTCCTCCGCCTGCCCCGGCTGTCCCAGACCCTCCACAACTCCAGGTCTGCAAACTCACTGTCCTAGGCGGCTTGACTAGCACCAGATCCGACTCTGACTGTGGTTTCTAGGTGTGGGGTGATGGACCGTCACTGACGCCACGTGGCCTCTCAGTCCCCCCGACGGTTTTGCAAAGTTTGCATTATTAGCCTCACTATGCACATGAGGAAACGGGCAGAGGGGTCTGCTCACTAAGCAAAACAGCTAGAAGCTCTGCGGGCCAGTCGCAAACTCAGATCCTGTGACCCCATTACCCACCAGCTGTTATTACTCCCATCCCTACTAGAAAAAGCAAATTACTTCCTGAGGATCATGGCCCAAAAGCCTCAAGTGTCTCTTCTCAATAAACTGTCAACCTCCTTAAAGAGTTGAGTGTTAAGTGCGTCTTTCTCCTGGGGCTGGTATGGGACTCTGCATGGGGGTGGCGGTCAGGGTGGGGGCGCACCAATAAACAGTGTGAACTCTATAGCCTGGCTACCAGCTCCCTGTCCACCCCCAGCCAGCCTTTCTGCAGAGAAGGGCCCTGGCCCTGGAAGCAGAGGGCTTTGCCCGCCCCTGTCTGGGGCCTTGGACTTACCCCGAAGGAAGTACTTGAAGGTCTCCTTCATCATTTCCTTGCGGATCTCAGGGTGGGTGATGGTGTTGAGCAGATGTCGCCGGTCAGGCTGGTTAAATATCAGGTCCCCGAGGACCTTGCGATTAATGTCACCGTTCTCCAACAAGACCTCAGTGCCGAAGGCCTCCACGATGCGCTGGTGGGCGGGGCATCCCGGCTGGACAACTGTGGCATGAGGAGGAGGTTGGGTCACTCTGTGGAGCCTCCTGGCCAGCTAGAGGACCCCAAGTGACTAGAAGCAAAATGACAGAGGGACCCAGGGATGCTTCTCTCAGTCAAAACAAAAAGAAACAAGGGGAGAGAAAGCAGTTAAGGAAGACAGCAGGCGGCACCGAGTCCCTCACATCGGTCATGGGGTGAAGTGAAGGAGGGAAACATTGAGTGGGGGCGGCAGCAGAGGGAAAAGCAAGAGGACGAGCACAGGGCAGGGAGCGGGGCATCGGACGGGCTCAGAGGAAAGTCTTCCCACCCTCCGGGGCCTTGGGAGGCCTAGGAAAAAGGTGGAGCGGCCGCATCTGCCGAAGGGAGACCTTATAGAAAGGAAGCAGGGGCAGCCGCCACACGCAAGCCCTCACGCTGACCCCCGGCTCACCGTGCCGGGCGATGACGTCGACGTCGATCACCGCGCACCCCAGCTGCTGGAACACCTGGATCACTGAGCTCTTGCCCGAGGCAATGCCCCCTGTCAGGCCCACCAGGAACATCTTCCCAGGAAAAAGTGGTCAGGGGGATGGAGACCCAGAAGTCGGATAGTCACTGGAGCTGGGCAGGCTCAATCAATCAGGATGGGCCACCACAGGAATGCCAGGAGGACCTGCTGGTCAGAAAAGAGCAGGCCTGATCAGTGCTGGGGAGGGAGGCCGAGGAAGGGGAGGGAGGTGGCCTGGCCGGGCAGTCAAGGGTCCATCCTGGAACAGAACACTCTTTCAGGGAAGGCCTCCAGTATTCTTTTTAAAAAGCCCATGCTGCCCTGGCTGGTGTGGCTCAGTGGACTGAGTGCTGGCCTGCAAACCACATGTCACTGGTTCGATTCCCAGTCAGGGCACATGCCTGGCCTGTGGGCCACATCCCCAGTAGGGGGCGTGTGAGAGGCAACCACACACTGATGTTTCTCTCCCTCTCTTTCTCCTTCCCCTGTCTCTAAAAATAAGTAAAATGTTAAAAAATTTTTAATGTATTTCTTTTAGACAGAGGAGAAAGCAGAGAGAAAGGAAGAGAGACAGAGTGTGGTTGCCCCCTGCACCTCTGACTGGAGACCTGACCCACGGCGCTGGCATGTGCCCCAGCTGGGAATCCGACCAGGAAGTCTCTGGTTCGCAGGCCAGCGCTCAGTCCACTGAGACACATGAGCCAGGGCAAATAAGTAAAATCTTAAAAAAAAAAAACCCAACATTCATAAAGAAGGCAAACTAACGCAGCCTAAATCTAGCCAAGTGCTAAGGAGGCAGAAGAGGGTCAGGTGCTGTTAAGCAAAGCGTGCTTTCAGGGGGTGGCAGTAAGGGACCCAGGCACACTTCCAGTAGGAAGGGGACACCTCTCCTTCTCTGGTGAACCCAAGACACTTTCCACATGCCCACAGAAGCGACTCACCCTCCCTAGCCTCCTCTTTCTAGTGTGGGACAGAGGCTCACGGGAACACGGCCTGTCTAGTTCACCCAAGACCAGCACTAGGCCTGAGTGGCTCATATAGAGCAAGACCAGTAATCCCTCCTGGTCACCTCGGAAGTGGATCGGATGGGAGCCGCAATGGCAAGCGGTAGGTCAGTGGCCACTAAGCCTCAGGGTCAAAGAAGGATAGGTCTTGCCAAGAAGGAATGTGAGGCAAGGACAGGCTGGGGCGGGGCACTCTGAGCTGGGTGCGACTTGTGGCTCTCAGACTGCGGCAGCAGCACAGCACAAAGGTTGGGCACATGGACCTCTTCAAAGCCAGTTCCTCGCTCACATGCCCTGCAACCCCAGGCAAGTCACTTTCCTCCCCGAATCTCAGTTTTCTCATCCTTAAGGCGGGAACGACTGAATCCGCCTCCTTCATAAGCTGTTGTGCAGACTGAGAGAGAACATGCTTGTGAAGTTCTTGGTGCACCGCCTACAGCACGGGACGTGAGGGTAGAGGTAGGGGGTGGGAGGAGGGGGTGCAGTCAGACTGCAAGAGAAAAAGACTTTCACCAAGTTCTGTCCCCATTCCTGAGACTGAGACTATCCAAAGTTAGGTTTTTAAAAAGTCGTGTTGCATTACCTGGAGTAAACGGGGTTATTTAGCATGTCTTGAACTTTGCTCCCACACTGAAAAAAAATTTAAATTGAAGGCCAGGTCTTCCCATACTTCCTTCAGCATCAAATCACATCTCCAGGAGCTTGAAATCTGTCACAGGACTTTGTTGTCATCGTTGTTGCTAAAGAGCAGGTTTACTGTCCTAACTACACTTTGCTTGAGCTTTTACGGACATGACTTGCTCCCGAGGCGGCACCAAATGACAGGGGGAGGCAGCGGTTCAGATGTGAGCAGAGTGGGTGGGTGGCTTAGAGCAGCGGACGGACCCACTGAAAGTTTAGCTCTGCCCAGGCTCCTTCTCTCCCGGGGAAGCCAGGGGCGGAGAGGGAAAAATATCCACTGGCTTCGCCATCCAGATCGAGAGACCTAATTAAGTTATTAACCCATTTACAAACCACTGCTTCTCAATCTGAGGCTGGAGTCATCCCCGGGTGGTCCCCTCCAGCTTAAAAAAAAAAAAAAAAAAAAAAGTTAAGGATAGGGTTGTTGTCCAAAAGAAAAAATCATCTACTCTGCTGAAGTTTGACGTGGAGAATTCTGCAACAGTGTATTTATTTATTTATTTATTTGAATTTATTTGAGAGAGGGGGAAGGAGAGAGGGAGAGGGGAAGAGGGAGGGAGAGAGGGAGAGGGGAAGTGGGGAGAGGGGGAGAAACAGGACTTATTGTTCCATTCATTTGTTGATTCCTTTACTGTCCTGACTGAGGATCAAACCTGCCCCACTTGAGCATCAGGACAATGCTCCAACCAACTAAGCTACACGGCCAGGGCATCTAGCAACAGCATTTTTAATCCCAACTCCTTCCTGTTATCTCCAAATCAATGAGCCTGCTACGCCTTTGTTGGAGTCCAATCTGGAACAAAGGGAGTGTGACTTGAGATTAGGTTGTAGGGGGCAAAGGCCAGTCCTCCTCAGGGCCCCAACATCTCAACAGGAAAAGCCAGCCACTGTCACGGGTCAGTGGGGCTTTGCCCGAGTTGGCTGACAGGGCCTGGAAGGCCATGTAACTAAGATTTCACCCCCTGCCCATCCCCGGGACCAGGACACTCTGGAGACCTACTGAGCCAGAATCCTGGGGATGGAGGCGCCCAGGCAGGGGTGCTGCGTACCAGGGCTTGGGACCGCCTCCCACTCTTCACTCACAGCAGCAGAGCTGAAGCTCGGAGAGGGGAAGGCACTTGCCCAGAGCCACGGCTGTGCATGGGGCCTGGATGGAATATAAGGCCCCAAACTCTGAGTCCAGACCCTGCCTTTCTGCACTAGGGCATGAAAATTCATTTACCTTTAGAATAGGGCAAATAGGACAACTGATTTGTCTGGAGGCAAATCAGTTCAGAGCCCAAGAAAAATGATCCTTGATCACAGTGGGATCAACGATCCCTCAGCAGAACAAAGGCAGGGTTTCACAGGAACAAACAGGGCACAGAGGTAAGTCCAGGCTCAGCTCTGTCCCAGGCTCCTGGGGTAACCTAATGCGTTTCTCCGCTTCTCCGTGCCCTGGATGACTACCTGCGGAAACAGACCAACAGCAGCTTGGCCTCCACCAGGAAGGCCAAGGGGACGGAGGAGCACGGGTCCAGGGAGGCCCAGGGAGGCCCAGGGCCCCTGGCTCACAGGGGCTACACGAGTAACAGCTGTTTCTGTCCAGCAAACCCTCCATAACTCATTCCCTTCACCAACTGCTGACTGAGCTCCTCTGGGCTTTGCAGCATGATGCCAGGGACCTCCCCAGCAATCAAGGAAAACACAGGCTCGCCCCTCAACAAAAGTGGAGAGGCAGACCGTAACAAATGAAACCCGCTGACAGGCGACCAAGAGGAGTCACTTGGTACTACTATTCCCGGGCCCTGGGGCATGTGTGGTTTGTTCACCAACCTGCCCAGAGAGGGAGCTACTACCAGCAAGAGCCTGGTGTCCCTCATAGTTTATCGAGAAGAAAACAAAGGCTTAGGTTCCAAGCTGCCTCTAAGTCCCACCCTGACCTGTCCCCGCAGCTCCTCCTGAGGCACCCATGGAGAGGTGGCCACCTCTGATAACCTTCGACGATCTTTTCCTGCTCAGGCTTGAAAGTCGTCATTCTGCTTGTTCTCCTCTGCTCACTTCTCCTTGTTCCACTGCCATTTACATGGAGGAACTCCTGAACCTGGCTCTGATCTGAGCCTAGGAAACTCTAGGAAAGGTTCAGAAGCCCAGGCTGCACCCCAGCCCGCAGAATCCGAATCTAGGGTGGGACCTCGCATCCCAACCAGCCAAGCACCAGAACCACTGATAAAATGGGAAGTTGTGGGATGGAAGTGGAGAGGCCTGGGTCCCAGTCTCTGAACTCTGCCACAGAGCTACCTGCAGGAAACCTTCTCACCAGCCTGGCCCAGGGTGGCAAGTCTGGGGTAAGCCGAGCCCCAAACATCTGCCCCTCTCTGAGCCTTGGTCTCCGCACCTGTAAACGAGGGAGGGACTGAACTTCCGGGGCTAATACCAGCATCCTGGGGGGGGCAGATAGTCACACCGGTGCCTTCTTTCTCTGAAAGTGCTCTTCCCAGAGCAGTCAACAAATGCTCGCTAAAGTAACCAAAGAATGACAAGGCCTTGGGGGCCCAGGAATCTCCCTGCCAGCACCCAAAGGTGTTCAGAGAACTGGCTTGGCTGCAGGAGGAAGGACAACACCGAGCCCCATAGTCAGAAAGGAAAGCTGAGGCCCAGTGCAAGAGGAATGAAAGCCATACTCCAGAACCCACCCCAGGCCTGGGATTCATCAGCCAAGCTGGGTCTCCAACCCCAGGGGGTGCCACATCCAATCCTTTCTTTCCCCTTATTCTCCACGTGCCAGGAGGGGCAGCAGGGAGTAAAGAAAGGGAAGAACTGGAGTCAGAAGTGGCACCTAGGCTGTGAGGTAGAGCGCGATCCTACTGCGCTCCATAAACAGTGGGCTCTCTGAATGAGCCTCTCCAAACCGCCTTTTGGGTTTCACTCCTTGGGCCCCAACAGCCTGGAGGACACAAAGAAAACCCTTTCAGGGAAGAAAGATCTTTCTTAGAATCTCCCCTGGCCATGTTTCTTAGGGGAAAATAAGAGTGGATGGCTCCATGGGCTTCCAGACAAGTGCCCTGCTGTGCACTGTCTGCGGAGTTCTACCCACCAACCTGAGCCGCCATCGCCTCACGCCCCGGCCTCTGCAGTCTCCTATGCCCTGTGCTCCTCCAGCCCCTGCCTTATTTCTCTCCCAAGGCAGCCAGGGTCTGGGCTTAAAGGACATCCGGTTATGCCACTCTCCTACTTAAAACCTTCACTGCGTTCTTCCTCCTCCACCTAGCCCCTCCCAGAGGTCTCTGGGCCCTGAGTGACGTGCCCACTGTCAGCCCCTCCACCCCCTAAATCACTCCTGTGCTTGTCATGTGCCTGCCTTCTGTCCCTGAAGGTGCAGGCTTTCGTCCCTCAGAGCCCCCTGCCCACCACACTCACCATCTGGCTAACCTGATTCATTCCTTCAACCTGCCAGGCCCCAGAAACTGTTCAAAACAAGAGTGCCCGCTCCCCACAAGGCTTACACCCTTCCGCCCACGATGGGGGGATGATATACTAAACAGGCAGCTCATATGGGAGGAGGTGCCAAGGTGCTGAGCAGGGGAGGGAATGGGTGCTTCAGATGAGGAACAGGAAGGGCTCTCTGAGTGACCCTAAAAGCAGCAGCCAGCAGGCCTCGGCGCCTTTCAGGGCAGCCGCGTCCTCCCTCCTGCCCCGACCAGGCCCTGACGCCTCCCACCGCCCCATTTCCTTTCTTTTCCTTGTACCCATTGGGCTTTGCACATCTACAGTATTTGCTTCATCATTTCCAACACATTCTATAAAGCTCCGTGAGGCCACGAGCTGTGTCCACTTTGCACCCCTTTTTCTCCAGCACCCAGCATACTGTCCAATGCCTGTGTGTCACTCATCAGGTGAGACATACTGGTTACGTTACTTCACCTTGCTTCAATTCCATTTCTTCATCTGTGAAACGGAGTTAATGGCACCTACTCTCGGTTGCCGTGAAAAATAAATGGGTTAATACACGTGAAGTGCCTAGAATAACAGCCGGCACACGCTAAGCACTCAACCACTGCTCCCTCTTAGTTACGAGAGAGTGTTTGATAACTACGGCAGAATAAATGATGGAATGCCCACAGAAGAAGAGGGAAACTCCTGGGGTCACGTTCTCCTCTCAGGAGCAAAGGGGAGGCTGGAACCAAACTGCTTTTCCACTGCTCGCTGCTAGTACATCCCTCCTGAGTGGGGCCGGGGGAGGAAACAAAATACCCAATGGGTATTTGAACCGGTATTTGAATGGATCCTCTGTCTTTCCTCCCTTGGGAGAGCTTGGGACTTCAGTTGGAAGCGGTTCTGTGGCTTTGCACCCCCAGCAGCAGCCCACACCCGCAGGCGCAGGAGCAGGGCCTGGCTCCCTCATTAGCTGGCGGCTTCGCTTCCTCCTCCTTTTTACGGCTTCTCAGCATCTCATACTGGGCCCATCTGACCAACCAAGTGCTTCTCCTCTGAGTTGCACTCCAAATGGGGGAGGTAGCCATTTTGCTCCAATGATCAATATAATCATTCAGGAACAGAGTCACTCCCTGTCTTGGGACCCAATTATTTTCTTGTGGAAGCAGTGGTTGCAAAAATATATTGTTTTCCAGTTAACTAGTAAGTGCTATTTTTAGCTATGGTTTCCCTACTCCTAATCTTGTATTATTGGTGAGAGGCTGCTGTTTAAACCTGAGTCCAGGTCCCCTCTTCTGCTAAGTCTATTAAAAGTCACCATCTTCTCCAGACTGCCAATTATCTGAAGGGGCTGCCATCAGTCTTCCTCTCCCTTCCCCCCTTGCCCACAGCAAGGGGCGGGAGGGAACGGGTCTTTCGTCTTGAGCATGCCACAAGCACAAACCAGTACTCCAGGGAGCGCTTACAGGTGAGCAGGGAGGTTGGCTGGACTGGACTACTACGCTGGCATCGATACAGAAGAGGATCAAGGGCAATGCCATCTCTCAGGAGCTCTGAAGTCATAGGGGCCTTGGCTGATATCTCAGCTCCGTCCCTTGGACAGCTGTGTGGCGTTGGGCAATACATCAGCATTGTGGACTTTGTTAACTTGCCTGTAAAATGGGATTAACAGTGACTACTCACAGAGGTTTTGTCAGGATTAAATGAGGTAACATGTCTCGGTCACCTCATCTTCTGCAGCTTGGTGTGCAGTCAGTCTCTGAAGTCGATTCCATTTCCCTAAAGAGCACCTCCATCCTTTCAATTGCTTGGGGCCAAAAACATGAGTGTCCTCCTGGCTCCTCCCTCAAACCCATAGTGCCCCCTGCCAGCTCTGCTCCCCACCTTCCCAACCAGGTCGGACACCTGGTGCCACCCACCACTGCCATCTCGTTCCTGGATTACTGCAGTAGCCTCTAAATGATTTCCTTGCCTTTGTTTGCAACAGTCTATCCATAAAACAGCAGCTAAGCTAGTGTTACCCTTTAAAAATGCAAGTCCGATCATGTGACGGCTATGTTCAAATCCCCCCCCTATCACTTGGAGCACAAGCTAAGTCTCCTTACAGAGTCCTACAGGGGCTTCATGACAGCTGTGGGTATTTCCACTGCAGGCATCTCCCGCCACTCTTCCCCTCGATTGTGCCCCTCCTGACACACAGGCCATCTTACTGCTCCTTGACCATGCTGGTGCACTCCCACCTTGGGCCTGTAGACAGCCTGTTCCCTCCGCGTGGAAAGCTCTTCCCCTAGGGGACTGCATGGCCAACTCTCTCCTCTGCCCCACTGTCACGGTACCAGAGACTGTCCTGAACATACACAACAGCACCCCCACTTCACAGCACATCAGTTCCCCTCTGCCCAACACACTGAGCAGCGCCTGGGCTTATTTACTGTCATTGGCCTCTCTCCCCAGAATCTGGGCACAACTGCAGCCCAGGTGCTTAAAATAGGACCTGAAAGTAGAAAGCCCTCGAAAGATCTGTTGACTATGTAAAGTGTGGAGCAAAATTTCCAGCTCATGGGTAAGCAGCAACTTAACATAATTATTTTAAAATAAGAGCATAAAAAAAAAAATAAAATAAAATAAAATAAGAGCATATATATGGTCTAGAAAACCTACTATGAGAATCACAAAATCCTTTCATATCACTTCCCACCCACACCTCTCTGGGCTGACAGTATCTTGGGCTCACAGATAAGGAAATGGAGGCAGAGTACCTAGGAAGGTATACTTCCCATCAGGCAGGAACCAGAGCGCCAGAGCAGTCACCCATGGAGTGCTCTCCGTGTGTCCGGGACATCCTTAATGCCACCTAATCAACAGAACAACCAATGAAGCCAGTTCTTCAATTTATTCCCATTCTAAAAGTGAAGAAACGGAAGTTAAAAGAAGTTAGGGATTTGCCCACAGAAGTTCCAAGCGGTCCTCATACCCGGGGAATGAGAAGCCGGGATGCATTAAGATTTTGCAAGGGACACAAATGCACAGTTTAAAAGGAATCAATTTCAACTCAGTTCCACACCTTCTCCCTATGGGAACAGACTAGCCATGTTTTTTGCCTGTAGTTTCTCCTTTCCCAGGCCCCCCATTCTTACTCACCCACCTCCTGCTGCTTTAAAAAAAAAAAAAAAAAGGCATAACCACCCACCCAGGGCATATCTTACTAAGGTGCTTTGTCCCATGGTGCAAAATACCCCTGGCCCCACAACGGGGCAATTCAAAATACATCAGTATTCATGCTGAGACTGTGACTGCCTGTAGTGACAATGTAACAAAACCTCCTGCTGAGTCAGGTGGTTTCCGAACCTTCACTTTCAATCAAGTTAAAGGAGGACCTAAAAGAACTGTCAGCTGACAGATTGTTAATAAATGATTTCAATGATAGATCACTGTGATTTTCTGGCCATAACTCAGAAGGTATCCAAAGAACTTGAGTAATACTGCCGCAGCAAAATGCCTTTAATTCCTGTGTATTTATTTACATGAACCAACTTTGCCAATGCGTACAGCTATGGAGTAAAAAAGTCGTGCTGGTTCCAGCAAATACATACGGGTGGATGTGTGAACTAAAACAAGATGTTCCACTCAGTGTAGGAAGAGAAGCATTCCATATAAAGCTTTTAATGTTTAACAATGATCAAAACTAGTAATATATTTGTTTTGATCAACTGTACATTTTAAATTCTAAAAACTCAATCTCAAGGGAGATGTTTGCTATGACCACAACAAAATGTTCAAAAAAATGTTTTAATTTTTGGAGGTATTTTTGTTGCAGACTAGTAGTACGACAAAGCAAAGGCTTTCCAGCCTAAAATCTATTCTACTAGAAAATATTCTGTGGAGGAAATAAAGTGGAAGTATGAGTTCAAGGGTGAAAAAGGAACAATGTAAACCTTCAAATGTTAAATAAAAACTGGTTCATGGATTTTTTTTCCCCAAAAGAATGAGGGAAATCAAATCACTCTTTGGCATTTAGGTTCCACTAAAGATTTACATTCCTGATGTAACAGTTTTATTTTTTAAATGTCAATATTTACGATTAACTACAAGTCATATCCTTTACAACTACTGAAACCTTCAGAGAAAAATTTTACCTAGTTAGAAATGTGCAAGTTCGTAGTTTTCAAAACAAAGTTAAGCCCGAGTTTGCCTGCCTTCAGCTATCAGCCCTAATCTTCTCTTCTAATGGTCCAGGCCGAGAAAGACTGAACCCTGGAAACATTTTATCCAGGGCAAATTCCGACTGCTCTAGATAGAAGAGGATTTGGTGGGAATTTAAGGCCGTGCTAAGATAAAACCACCGAAACTGGCCTGCCCACTTTCTATTCATCAGCCAGCTATCTGCAGCATTCCACCGTTTTCCAGGCCTGTTTGCACTCCGCCAAATCAATCTGGTTTACATAAAATCAGCTCCCCTATCCCATATTCAAAGTCTTCCATTTCCTGAAGTTTAAAACTAGGACTTAACGTGAAAATTAATTTGGGTGATGATTTTCCCGTAAGTGAGGAAGAAACAAGAATATTTTAAAACTTCATGAATAAACTCAAAGCCAAAGGTGTTAACGCCTCCTTTTGGAAGCTGGGAAAGGACGAGAAGCCGGCGGTTTGGCCGCCTTCTTCCTAGCCGCCAAGGTCGGGGGAGGGGGGGGGTCTTCACTAAAACTCTGCAAGTAGTTTGGCTTCGGGGGAAGAGAAAAGCGGAGGGGAGTCTGTCTTAACAGCGAAGATGATCCCTCAGCAAAACAGCATAGAACGTTACATCCATTCTCCACCTGAGACAGGTATCATTCTCATTTTTTCCAAATCAGTAAATTCAGAGTTGGAACGGTAACTAAAGTCAGAGAACAGGAAAGAGCAGAAACTGGATTCAAAAATCAAGTTTAGGGATGACCAGAAAGCCTTACAATAAACTGGCTTTGAGCTGAAACTGGGTTTGAACCCACGTTTCCCGCCGCTTTCTACTTGTAAACCTTCCTCCACAGCTGTAAAACAGGGAAAAGAACACCTTGCTTAGTATGGGGAGGGATCAAGGCAGTGAGTCGTAGATGTAAAAGTGATCCAATGGCTGCTACATAATATGTGCTCAATAAATTGTAACCAAGGCTTGAAAAAAAGGCGCGTACTCTAGACCCCATCACGACCGGCGCGCCTCGGGCTACGGTTCTGCGCGCCCAGGGCCCGGCCCAGCAACGGGACTTAGGCCGGGGCGGGAGAAAAACCAAGCAAGCCCCAGCAGCCCGCCGGCCCGCCCACTTCTCGCGGCTTAGGCGCTGCCACCCACACGCCCGCGCGGCACGCTACCTACCGGAGGCCTCTGACCCGACCTGGGCCGCCGCCGCTCTTCCAATCTCAGGGACGCTTACTGAGTGACTACCAGTGGGCAGGCGGGGCTTCGGGAGCACGCGACCGGAAGTCCTATCGACGGAAGGGGCGGGGCCTGGGAGTTGGGCGTGGCCGGGTAACAGTAATCGGAGATCTCCGGCCAGAGTGTGGACGTTAGAGTAATTCCTCCCTCGCAGCCAGAGGCTTCCCACGCGGGAAGCTAGGGGGCGACTTGGAGTGTACTATCTTCAAATCCAGGCCTGGCCATCGTTGGCTGTGCGGCCTCTGATAAAGGTAATGAAAGCTATGGTAGTTAACTGAGACCCCCCTTACCTGACAGATCCTAAGAGCCTACAGATCACCTGCAGATTCTGTAGGTGAATTTTCTCATTGAATTTCAACAGCCCTTGAGGTGGATACTGTCACCATCCCCATTTTACACAAGAGGAAATGTTTTAAACTGCATGCCTGTAATAAGTAACATGATGAAATCGCATGCATCCTGCTCCATCCCAACCAGGTTGTGAATTATCCCTTTATAGCCTATCCACACTATCCACACATAAGTCACTTAGTAGCCAACTCAGTATCAGATCAACTGTCATAGCATCGCAGTGCTTGTGTTCAAGTAATCTTTATTTCTTATTTTATTTTTTTGCAGTGGAGAAATATTGGATATTTTATTCTAAACGGCACCACCCAGGAGAATGGGAAGCTAATGTTCAAAAGCCAAAAACTCCCCGGTGGTGTATAGGTTGCAAATTATAAAGGGCACAATCACAAGACACCATGGAATAAGGGTTTGGGGTCATGCTGGGAGCTGATCAGTCTTAAGTAAAGGTAATAAATCGTTCCTTCAGGTTTGGAGAGCAGTTTCAACGTCTGTTATGATGTCCCTCCATCTGGTTTCATGGTAAAGTAGCCAAGTGTAAAGCCACCTTAGAGCACAGGAGCTGCAACATAACTTAGGCCAAGATGTTATCTGTATCCCTGGCTGGCCTGGCTCAGTGGATTGAGTGCCGGCCTGAGAACCAAAAGGCCACCAGTTTGATTCCTAGTCAGGGCACATGCCTGGGTGGTGGGCCAGGTCCCCAGTTGGGAGTGTGCAAGAGGCAACTACACATTGATGTTTCTCTTCCTTTCCTGACTCTCTAAAAATAAATTTAAAAATTTTTTTTCTTTTTTTAAAAATATTTTATTTATTTATCTTTTAGAGGGAAAAGGAAGGAGAGGGGAGAGAGGAAGAGAAATATCAATGTATGGTTGCCTCTCACGTGTCCCCTGCTGGGAACTGGCCTGCAACCTAGGCATGTGCCCTGAATGGGAATCGAATTGCGATCGTCTGGTTCGCAGGCCCGCGTTCAATCCACTGAGCTACACAAAAAAATATTTTTTAAAAAAGATGTTATCGCCCTGGCTGGTGTAGCTCAGTGGATTGAGCCCCGAGCCCCGGCCTGTGAAGCAGAGGATCGTGGTTCAATTCCCAGTCAGGGCACATGCCTAGGTTGCAGGCCAGTTCCCAGTTGTGGAAGCATGAGAGGCAACCACACACTGATATTTCTCTCCCTCTCCCTCTCTTCTTCCCTTCCTCGCTCTCTGAAAATAAATAAACAAGTAAAATATAATTTTTAAAAAGATGTTATCTTCAGGCTGACAGAGGTCTGGCCAGTGTGACCATTAGTCAGATCCAGGCTACTGTCTTCTGTGACCTAGGGGGTTGGTGATTATCCCAGGGTAAGGCTCAATTTCTAAAGGGCATATGTATTATACATAGAGAGAAGTGATTTCTAGAGCTAGGATTTAAAGCTCAAATTAATCAGGTTTCAGGTTTGTCTAGTGTGGAGCTTATCTGATACTTACAGTGTTTAAAAGATACCACAAGGGTCAGAGCATGAGAGAGCTTGGGTGAAGCCATCAACTAGGATAGATGAGGTGTTCCATCCTGGAATGTCCAAGGATCTCAGCTGTTACTCTGCGGTGGCCTTACCACGTGGGTTCCTACTATCTGATCTGCAGTTAAATGATACCCTCTGACTCCCACCTATGACCTGTACACCAATCACTGAGCTTATTCTACATTTCCCCTTTGCTCCCAACTTAAGCTGTATTTCTACTTTGTCAGAGAATGCTCTTCAACTCTTATCTCCATATTTGTTTCAGTCTTAGATTTATAACTAAACCCATTCAATTTTCAATATCTGTTCTTTTGCCAAAATTTTCCAATCATCTCTCTCTCTTTTTTAAAGATTTTATTTATTTATCTTTAGAGGGGAAGGGAAGGAAGGAGAGAAATATCAATGTATGGTTGCCTCTCCTGCATCCCCTGCTGGGAACTGGCCTGCAACCCAGGCATGTGCCCTGACTGGGAGTCAAACCACGGTTGTTTGGTTCACAGGCCTGTGCTCAATCCACTGAGCTACACCAGCCAGGGCAATCATCTCTTAATTGGATGAAACTTGACCCCTAGTAGAATGCTCAGCAAGAGCTCTTGAATAGAAAACTTCTTGAGTTCTGAAAGTTTAAAATGGAAATTCTTAGCGCACATTTTTTACTTGAGTTTTTAAAAATGTCTCTCACTCTTACTTTCTATAATCCTGTTGTATAGTTGATGCCACCTGATTTTCGTTTTTTAAAATAAGTTTTTATTTTTCAATTACAGTTTCAGTACAATATATGCAACCCATATAAATGATTAGACATTTACATCATTTATGAAGTCTCACCCCGATAAATCTCGTACCCATCTGACACCATAATATTTAACAATTACTTAACAGTGGCCCCAAAGCCCAAGAGTAGTGATGCTGGCAATTCAGATACACCAAAGAGAAGCCGTAAAGTGTTTTCTTTAAGTGAAAAGGTGTGTATATACAAGAAAAAACATAGCATACATAGGGATTGGTACTCTGCGCTTCCAGGCGTCCACTGGGAGTACTGGGAAGTGTCCCCCACAGATAAGGGGAGGCTACTACACATAAAAGCATCTAATGGTGCCTCACGTACAGTAGGTGGGTGGTCCTTAAAGAACTCCTGCCCTGACTCCTTCCTCCCTCCCTAAAACTGTACTCCTGCGCTCTGCTTCCTTCAAGGTAGGAATCATGTCTACCTTCACCCTCAGTATCCCCAGTACAGTGCCCAGCATGGTGGGGTACAGTACACTGGGGAACAAAGTAATTCGACATCTTTCTCTGCTCACTTCAGTTACTGAGACCTTTCTCCTTGATGTCAACAGCACTGGTGGCACCACCCACTACACAGGATTGCACCTCGTGATCACAGGGCCCATTCGGTCCAAACACCTTTTTGGTGTTTGACTCTCCTCCACACCATCTGTCTGTACTTGGATACATCCAGTGTCGGGGAGGATCTCCCTTGCTGATTTGGAGACAACTTCATGCTGTCTTCGAAGTCCAGTCCTATCACAAAGCTCTTCCTTAGATCATTCCTACTTCTGATCCATGGGGCCACGGGGAACAATTCTAATACCTATCCCACGGAACCAGATCGAACGGCTCAGTCCCCTTCCTGCATCAGACAGCTTACAGATAAATGAGGTGTGTGGTTCTGAACCTTTTCCCTACTGCAGACATATCAGAGGATACCCAGATTCCCATCAGTACTAGTGGGGGTTCTGTCTTCTCACGGCATCCTCGTGGTTCAATCTGTCAACAGCAGCTGCACCAGGCTGTGGCACGGCCCCAGAGGAAAGGCTGCAGGGTTGCTGCGGGCGCTGCCACCATGGGGGCTTTCTCAGCTCACACACAAAGCCTCCAATATTCGGGGCCGCACCAGTGAACTCTGAGCTGGTTCTAGCTGCTCACACGATTGCACTTCATCCTGACAATGACCTGTATCTCGGTCACCTCTGTGTCCTGGGCCTCTAGCGTGATGCCTGGAATAGAAAGCTGCCCCAAGTTGTGCGTGATGAGCAACCCTCTGCATCCAAGAGAGATGACTTCTTTGACTCCTGGTTCTTAAAATTAAACTTACTTCTCAGATGTTTATTTTAAATAAATATTAATGTGCAATTAAACTTACACTGTACCTCACAAATACCATTAATATTTATCCTTTATTAAACAGCTTCAAAAAAAAATCCTAAAGGTTGTCACCAACTAGAAGATGAAGTCCAAACTCCTCAACCTGCAACCTAAGGCCTTCTATAACTCGGCCCCTGACCACTGGGGATGTCTCACCACACGCCTGTTGGGAAAGGCCGAGGAGGATGGGAACTTAGTTATTGTACCAGACTTTTTGTTACAACACTGGGTTCGAGTCTAGACTTATACTAGGTAGCCATGAAACTTTGGGCAAATCATCGAACTTACTGTTTTCTCATGGTAAAACGGGACTGACGCCTGCCCTGCTCCTTGTGGAGGGTTGAACAAGGCCGCTGACATTAGGGGTCAAAGGAGACCATGCGTCAGTGCATTTTGTTGGCGGGGCAGCGTTGTGCAAACATCCAGGGTGACTACAGTGTGTTCTGGCCTGGATCCTTTGCTTGTATCATTTCTGCCCCCTGAAGGCTTTATCTCTTCTTTCTTACCATTCACTCATTCACTCAATTAATGCAACAAATATGGAGGGCCTACGGGGGGGGGGGCTGGCTCAAGGGATACAGTGGTGAGGAAAATCCAGTCTGTTCTCTGCCCCCACAGGATGTGGGGTCTTGTGAGGGGAAATGTTTACAAAGAAAAGTAAAGCTGTGACTTAAGCTCAGGAGTGAGTCCATAGGACTCAGAGACTACAATGGAGGGTCCAGGAATTAAGCTGTCTTCAAGGCCACGTTCGGTCTGCTTTTTCCAGGAAGCCTTTCCTAACGATCCTGCCCCAGAGAGCTGCACCCCTTGCCCTGCCCCCAATTTCAATGAACTTATCTATCTAGCTCATTTCATCATAGCCCATCAGACCTTGCTACAATACTTTCTTTTCAAGTGAGCCTGGTTTTCAGGACTTCACTGTACGTGCCTTCTGGGCAGTGAGTGCATGGCGCGCTCTCTCACACAGCACAGCACCACACCAGCAGAAGGCTGGACCCACTGTGCTCCTGGCTCAGGTGTCAGGGGATGTCATAGAAAGGAAGGGTGCCCTTCCCAAAAATGAGCTGTGGCAGAGACAGGACACTGCCTAAGACCATTTCCCCGCCCCTCATTTTGTAACTGAGCCCACCAGCCCCGTTCTTCTTTGGAGGAGAAAAACTCTTCCCAGGACATCCAGTCGCCTCCCTGGAGTGCCATCTTCCAACAAAAACGTGATCACACCTGTCCCCAGCTAACAATCCTCCTTGTTGCCCGAGTCTTCAGGACAATGCCCAAACTCCTCAGCATGGCATCCACATGCTCTCAGGGTCTGACTCCCGACTACTCTCCAGCCTCAGCGTCCAAAATGCTCCTTGCCCGAAGCTCCAGCCACAGCATTTTTCTTGTGGTACCTCGAGAGCACCTTACGCTCAGGCAGACAGACTTTGCAGACCTTCAGCCTAGAAGATCCACCTGGTTCATCTGCTTCCCCTGTGAAAACTCGGCTGTCTTTTCCTCCGGGACCCCTTTCTCCACACTAAGAGTCCCTTCTGCTACATCCTGTGCCCCCCACTGTCCTATACACTATTCTATAACAGTCTGGGTGCTGACCGACTCTTGGAATGAAGCCAGGGTGGGGACTGTGTTGTTAGCCCTGTTCTCTAGGTTCTGACATTATGAGTTTTTCTTTTATTATTAACAGTAGTAACGCTGACTCCCTGGGAAGGGAAATGATTTATAGGTTTTGACAGTCCCAGGCACTCTACAAAGAGTTTTGTGTACACTGTCTTATTTTACAGATGACAGTATTCAGGCTCAGAGAGGTTAAATGACTTGCCTAAGGTCACTCATCAGGCAAAAGCAGAGCTTAAGATTTAGGACCCAGGCGGTTCTCATAATCACTCTGACCTACTGGGCCCAGGAACAACCGCGACAGGATAGTGTCCTCACTAGGAGCAGATTCTTCCAGAATCTGGTTTCACAGGCACATCCCTCAGTCACCCTCTGGGCCCTACTGTGCCCCACTTTCTCCTTATAATGCTCCTGCCAGAACAGGTGGGTGAGAGGAGCCAGCAGAGCCAGGTGGGGAATCCTGCTCTTCTCGTGTGATGAGGCGCTCAGAGGGCTGGGAATGTTTACCTTGGAAAAAATAAGAATTTTAGGGAAGCAGCTATTAACTGTAGAATATGGAACAACCACCTACAAGGACACAGGATTATATGTTTCTACATAACCCTGCAAGGCAGAACTTGGCCAACTTCCCACCAGTGAGAGCTGTCTGAAAGAGGAAGTCTGTCTCTTATGAGGGAGTGGGGAAGAACAAATGGGAGACATTTGTAGACCAAATTTAGGAAACTCTATATTGCGCTGTGACTGTAAGCTCATAAGCAGACTTGGGCACCAAAACCACATATGGTAATATTCAGTTATCAAATGGTCATTAAAAAAAAGTCACATACACTCAATTTATTTTTTAAAAACAAAAAGTTTAAATTTTATTATAGAGAAATCATGGGCCCAACAAAATCTGTGAGGATTCTAACTTGAAAAATCCTAAGAGAGGGAATAAGAGCCTCTCTTAGATCCCTTCTAATTCTGAACTTCTTGGAGACGCTGGATTCCAGAACTTTGGCCTTGTATTTGCATTCTGGGCTCCGTTAGGGTCCCACTGCCTGCCCGCCTCCTGGGAAAGGCTCGCTGCCACCACCACCACCACCACCACCACCAAGCAAAAACTGCTCAGTTTGCAGGTAGCACGCACAGCAGAATGTCTTACTTAAGCTTTAAACTACAAGAATGGTAGGGTCCACAGAAACCAGCACCTTTGGAATAAAGGGAATCTCTGTCACGTGTCATTACCTTCACTTAACCTCTGTGTGTCTGTGAGAAAAGAAAAACGAGGCTGGAAACTAGTACACCAGACGTGGATTCTGGTTCTGCAACTAGATATCATTGTGATTTTTCTTTTTTTCTTTTGCCAGCACAGTTTTCTTCAAGTCCCCTTCCCTACCTACTTCACAAGGTCCCATGAGCTACAACAGGTGAAACTAACACACGGAAAGCTTTACCTGTTATCATCTCTGACCTCCTCCAGTCGCCTGCAGCCAGCCGCAGGGAAGGTGGCCCTGAGACAGGAGTGCAGGGGGTCAGCTCTCAGCCTGAGCATCTGTCTTTGACTGCCTTCCAAAGTCAAATATAAATCATTGGAGATTACCTGATGTGGATCATATTTACTTCCGCTCTTGCCACTGATATAAAAACTAAGAGTTGACTATACTTAGCTCTGTTTTATTTGTTTCCCTGCCGCAGAGGGGAGCTGTTTCTTACCATGGTGAACGTTTTCCCAAAGCAAAGATCATTTTCCTTTTCAGCCAAGAAGTTTTCTGCTGTCACGAAGTTCCTTCCCTCACCACCCACCACAACCCAACCTGAACGGGGAACCTCTCGGAACCCGAACCACGTCTTTGGGCCGTCTCCTCAAAACTCAGGATTATCAGCACACTTTCGATTTTCGGCGGAAGCTGCGTTTCCCTGGTTTGCAGACTATTCATCTGAATAAAGTTTCTAAAAAACCAAACGAAACTCAGGTGTGATTAGCCAATCGCAGGGTGAGACCCAAGAGACTGAAGCACCAGTCAGGGCTAAACATAGATCGAGATGTTGCAATTACTTTCCAATACCCGGTTTCCTCCGGCAGATGTATGAGACAACGGAATTTTGTGGTGGTAAAGAATTAAGCGAGACTAAGAGCAGACAGATTAAGATTTAGATACCGATTTTGCCACTTATTAGCTATGTGACTGCAATTTACTAACTAATCTGAGCCACATTTCTTCGTCTATAAAAAAAAGGGGGAATGGAATAGAGCTCACATGCTACGTTTGTTGAGAAGATTTAAAAAGAAGCTCGAAAATCTTTACCACGGAGCCTGGTATATAAGGGGTCAATTAAGAGTGATTGTGGAGGGCTGCTGTGGAGAATGAAAGGGACGCTGTGTGCGGAAGAGCTTCGTGGACCGGTACCTGGAGGTCCAGAAGGAAGGCCTGAGGAGGCAGTCAAGTCTCCTGGGTCTGAATCAGGGCTCCGCACACCACCATCCACCATCTCTCGTGAGGCCTTAAGAAAGGCGGCCAGGAGCCAAGCTGGCTTTTCGCAGGAAAGCCCCTCTAAGAAGGCCCGATGCTTTCAGGCTGCCGGTGGGGCACGCCCGCGGGTCTCAGGCTCTCTTACTTACCCGGAAATGGTAACAGTCCTTAACGGCAGTCAATAACGGCTCACCTATGGCCCGGGCACTAGCAAGGGCAGGCTGAGGTCAGAGCTCGGATTTTGAAGTCTCCACCGCCGAAACCCTAAACGAGCATGGAACTACAAATCCCAGAATGCTATACGATCCGCGGGGTCGCAAGGGTCAGCCCTCAAAGCGCGGCCGACCGCCGAGGGCTTCCTAGCGCTGCTGGCCCCTGACCTAGGACAGCGTCCCCTCGTAATTTCTGGGTATTGTAGTCCACCTTGTTCCGGTTTCCCGGGAATGAGCCGCGCCTACTTACGGCTCCCTTCGCCACAAGAACTACAAAACCCATAATATAGCGCCAGTTCCCCTCGTCCAATAGGAGCCCCCAGTGTAGCGAGGCTTGGAGGCCGGCCCTCGGAACAGAAGATGGCGGACGAGAGTGAGACAGCAGTGAAGTCGCCGGCTCCTCCGCGGCCGCAGATGATGGAAGGGAATGGAAACGGCCATGAGCACTGCAGCGATTGCGAGAACGAGGAGGACAACAGCTACAACCGGGGGTAACGAGATCTTCGGAGTTCAACTCCTGTCCAGCTTCCCACAACCTGGGTCTCTGGGGTGCGGGGAAGTCACCGGGAGCTTAGTGTAACCCCACCCCCCATGTTCTTATTGGCTGAGACCTTAAGATCCTGCCCAGCGATTGGTTTTTGTCCTTGTCGTTTACCAGAGGTGGATGCCTAGTATATTAAGGGTCGGAGACATTCAATACTTTTATTATATAAAAGTTCTTCTGTGTGCGCTTCCGGCTCGTCCTGGGGAAAAAAGCTTGTAGGATGGTGGTTTTAGATGGCACAACACAGGTCAGTATAACAGTACAGTTTAAAGGGAATGTTAACTTAGGTATTGTGTGAACAACGTGATCAGCAGTAAATGAGTAATAAAACATTTCGCTGCAGTTCGTTCATCTTCAATGAGGAAATTCAGGCTATACAAACCATAATTATGTTGTAAAATGTCGCTACCAGAGAATCTCGAAATGTAAACTCACCTTATAAACCCTGCGTAATTACGGTATAATAATGTTTTGAGGTATACAGTGCCTGTTGCTCCAAATCCATGTTTCCTGAACAATATATAATTAGGTCTTCCGGCATATTGGTTCCGTTACGCATGCAGAGTAGCTTGAAACTTCAAGAAATTGAGTAACGCTTCTTGGAGCGTGTTTGGAGGTGGGTTTAACACCGCATCTCCCGTACTTTAGGGTGTTGCTTACTAGTAACTGTTTGTTCCTTCCCCAGCAAAAAATGTTTCCAGTGTTCGAGTGTTGAGTTCTGTTCCCAAAGCAGTTTTCACTCTTGTAAGCCCCACCCTATCATTCCTCTTTCTTCACATTTTTACAACGGCTGGAGCTGGCACTCGCCCTATCTATGAAGGTAAAGTCAGGAGAGATTGTTTTGGATGTATAACTTCCGCTGAGTCTGTGCTCTGTTTTTCGTAGCCATCTTGTCATTTGCAGTATTAATGGTGTCCTGGAGGTAAAGGAGAAGGTTGAGATCTTTGGATAAACTTTTTAGAAAACCTGCTATCTTATCTCTTAGAGATGGAAGAACCTAGGATTATTAAAGCGGTTTATAATTGACCAGTGATGAACCCTTAGGTTAAAAGATCTTTTATGTTATTTTTTTAATTAATTTATTGATTGAGAGAGAAAGATACATCCATTTGTTTTTCTACTTATTTATGCATTGATTGGCCCATTCTTCTATGTGCCCTTGGGGAGATTAAACTGGCAACTTTTGGACACTCGGAGAGAAGGTAGAGGAACAGGAAGCTTGTTAAATTTGATTTTATAAGACTGTTTCTTTTGGTGTAAATCCCAACAGATTTAATGTGGTAAAAGCCTAATTTTGAAGTTTGAGATTCCCAAGAATGAAAGCTGAGAAGGAGGAAGTAGGAGGAACAGGAAGAAGGGAAAGTGTAGCCCTTCTGAATAGACATCTCACTCATAAATGGGAGTTGTTGAATTAGTCATTTCAGAAGTAAAAGTGTCTTTGCTCTTTGTGTAGTTTCTTTGCTTTTTGTATAGTTACTTTTATTTTTTTTTCTGCTAAGCTGTCGTTCTGACCAGTGTCTGTAGCTCTTTAATGGGTTTCGTTCTCTATAATCTGTGAATTATTTTGCAGAACTGCTTGACAGAAAGTTCTGTTTTATTAAAGTACAACAACGTGGTAACCTTAGAAAACTCTGAAGGTGTTTCTCTTTTCAGTGATTTTTGTTTAATGGTTGTGGCCTGGGTGAACAAACCCTGAATCTGGAGGCCTTTCTGATAAACGAGTTTGGAGGTGGTAGGTGGGGAACAGAGAACCCACCTAGAGCACAGAGTCTAGTTCCGGCACTTAGATTCTGAGGGAGAATCAGCATTTTTCTGTTAGTCCTCAGAATAGACGGTGTTGGGAAGAAGCTGTGTGGCTTGGTGGGAAAGCACAGCCTGGGAAGTCATTCAAAGCCTGCTTCTGATACTGAATAGTTCTGTGACCTTGGGAAAGTTACTTAACCTTCCGTTGTAGGGATTAAGTGAGATAAAGTCTGGAATGCAGTCTTCCCCCTCCCTCTTAGTTTTTCTTCAGATCTTCCCTGTCCTCCCTGCTCGCCTCCTTGCCCTTACCACACACGGTAAGCTTTGTAGCTTTTGTCTTAACACTGGTTAAGTGACACAGGTGTCCAGTCCTTGCCTCACCTGGCTGTGAGGTGCCTGAGAAGAGGGTTGCGTGTCTTTGCGATGCCTGGTACTTAGCTTGCATTAATGAGTATTTGCTGGCTGGACGAATGGCCAGTGTTAAACTTCTTAGCCCAGTGTTAGTGGAGTTTCATTTCTCCTCACTGACGGAAGGATGTCAGGTTTTTCCTATACACTTTCTTTCCCCAAATAAGTCTCGTTGTAAACCTTACTGCAGCTTTTGTGAAATACCTACAGAAATCAAAGATCCTTGAATTTACTGTGGAATTCCAGTTTTCCACTGCTTTTTGGCTTCTCGAACATTTTCTTGTCTTACATTATTTTAAATGTTTTCAGAAAATTTTTGAGTTCAGTGAGAGCATCTCCTTTTGATGTGAGTGATTCTCAAGTATAATAGGCAATTAGCTAATGGCAGTCCAAACCAGCTCTGTTCCGCTTTTCTTTCAGGGTGGGCTCCCAGTGCTTTGGACTAACGCAATGAGCTACATTCATGCCCTGGAATAATAGGAAATCAGCTGTGCTGGCTTCCTAGGTTCCTTCTTGTGTATAAGTTTGGTTCTTGACTTTTCATGCATTTCTCCCCTGACTAAACATTGGGTGAGTATAAATTTCATATGTACGTAAGAACATAGGTGTGCACATGCGTACATATATAGTACGTGCGTGTATAGATGCATCTGTCTGCAGTTTCAGAATTCACTCAGCAGAGGAAAGGAGCAGCATTTTCACTGCGGTTACCTGCCTGATGTGGTCAGTCCCTAACTACAGAGGACAGGCTGGAGGATGTATGCCACATCCTCCAGCAGGTCGTGCTTCATCTGTTGGGTTCAATTTGCTTGCTTGTTTTTAGTGAAAGGCTTTCCAAGAAGTATCACTAAAGAATAAACCTTGTCAGCTAGGAGATTGTTTTTAACCTCTCTTTGTGGGCCTCAGTCTTGTGACTTCTGGCAAAGATTGTATCAGTCAGTTGGGGTGCGCCCGGGAAAACGAGCTGCAGGAGGCATTCCAGGGAGGGTTAACATGGGGTGGTTGTCGCAGGTGGTGGGGACCAGTCATCTTGTTACTGGGGATGTTGGCTACGAAATGGCACCAGTTGTTACCAGAGAGGTTGGACCTTGATTCGTGAGTTTGGCGAAGAAAACATTCAGATTCAGGGATTCATATTATGAGAGAAAATTACAGAGGTGGTAGAAATGAGCCAGCTGGGCTGCGTAGGCTCAGGAAACAAGTTGCAGAAGCAGAAGGAAGGCCTGTGGAGCTCTGGAGAGAGGAGGCCAGGATAACACTCCTGGGGGAGGGGGAGGGGAAGGAAAGGTGCGGGCGTGTTCCCAGAGGGAAAGTGCACTCAGCTGGTGGATTCTAATTTTTTTAAGACTTTATTTATTTATTTTTAGAGATGGAGGGAGAGAGAGGAGAGAAACTTCCGTGTGCATGTGCAAGAGAAACAGATCAGCTGCCTCTCGCATGCCCCCCACCAGGGACTTGGCCGGCAGCCCAGGCCTGCGCCCTGACTGAGAATCAAACCAGCAACTTTTTGGTTTGCAGTCAGTCTGGTGCTCAGCCCACTGAGCCACACCAGACGGGGCAGATTTTAATTTTGGAGCACCAAATAGGTAGAGTTTATCAGAGTGTTTGGACCAGGAAAGAACCTTTAACTAGTTTGTTCCTAGGATTCTTTTGGAATTTGTTTTGCAGTGTCGTCCATACCATAGAGAAGCTGAGGAGTCATGGGTAAAGAACCCTTTCATGAAGGATGTCTGTTCTCTGCCCTGTTCCCTTACTCACCCGAGGGGACTGGGTAAGATGGGTCTTCGTCAATTCCTAATCGTCAGTTATCCCTTATGAATAAATTAGGAGAAAAGAAAGGTCTTTTTGAAAGGAATTCCATAGGCTAGCCTTATTTGCTTTTTTTCTTATTGTTATATTCTTCAAGAATGGTTCTTTCCGTATTTATTTGATAGCTTATGGCTGCATCTAGCTCTTGGCAAGAAGAAATCTTTTTAGTTTCTTTTTCTTAATCTCCCCCTTCAGCTTTGGTTTTTCAAAACTAGATCAAAACAAATGAAAAGAGAAACCTCATCACTGATATCAAATAAGTGTTCTAATTTTATTTCCCAATTAAGTGGCAATTAAAAAGAAACTAATCAAGAGCTGCTTCAAAGAGAAGAGACTGGAAAGCAGAAGAAATGAAAAATAAATGAGAGCCTATTTCAGGGAGACTGCTGCTTACAACTAACCAGTTTTGCTGATTTTTCACATTGTTTAATGGGCTCACTCCAAAATTCCCCAGCTTTACTAAGTCTGCAGTTAACCCCTTCCCTGTGGTGTCTGTCGAGTTTGGGACCATAGATCAGTCACGTTAGGAGGGTGACTCTTTAGCCCTTCCCCTTTAACTGTTTTCGAATGCTGCCCTGCTGGCCTCTCTTCTAATTCCTCAAAGAAGGTGCTTTTGTGGCTGTTGCATTTGAGGCACACAAAACACGGTGTTTTTTATGGAGAGTGTTTGCGTGCACACACACAAGAAACAAACTAAAATTCTTCAACAGGGTTAGTCCTTCAGGATTTTTTCTACTGTCGCTGACTTTTGAGAGGCCCCTGAAGAGGATTCACTGTTAAGTGTCCGGTAAATGTTCTCTCTCATCTCTTGCTATTATTACTGTGTAGTGGGCACTCGGACACTGTGCTCAGTTCTTTGCATGGATTATCTCAGCTCGCCTTCACTTGTAATTGGTTTAGCTTTGGCGGTGAGGCTTGGGATTTGCATCCCCACCTCTCCCTTTGACCCCCTGAAGGACACATTCTGAATTTAGAAACTTCTTTTCC